TGAATTGGTAAAATATTAAATGTTCTTATCGTAAAAAGGAAGAGAAAAGAAAACCTGAGACAGGTGAGAGCATAAAAGTCTATATGTTAGAGAGGCAATGTGCTTAGCAATGGACAAGTATGTGAAGGAAAGGAAGATGAGAGTGCTAAGGCTGGCTAGCCAAAGTTACTTGACAAGCTTGCTACTGAAGCCCTTATCACACCTCTATTCAACATGCCCATCCAATTCTTTATCTTGGTTTTGTTTGGGAATCAGCATAGTGATGCCCATTATGATTGTGGGACTCTTTTGCCCCCATCATAGAATTTGTATGAAATTACTCCTCATAAACATTTGGGTTGCAATCTTAAACAATCCAATTAAGGTCCACCTCTAAATTTTATCATAAATATAATTTTGATATAAAAAATTCTTAAGACGGCTTTAGAATCTATTTTTATTTTTATTTATAAAATTTTAAACTCTAAAAATGGTTCAAATCAAATAAACCTATAAACACATGAAGGTCTTGAAAATGGATGGCCTAGGCAATGTGTTACAACATACACTATTTCGCCGACTTGAAATCTTTTTTTTTTTCATATTCATACATCTCAATAAGACGATCAATTAGAGGGTTTTCCAACATCCAAACAACCTTTTATAATAGAGTTTTGAGATGCACCTTAATAAAACAACCTTTTATAATAGAGTTTTGAGATGCACCTTAATTCTACAACTTAAGGTTACAACCTTATATAAATTTTTTCTTAAACATTTTGTTTTGAATATCTCAATGTAATATAGCACCTAAAGATTATATGTGCATGATCCATTCACTTCCTCGGGTAAAACCCAATGTCGGAACAAAGGTTTGGGGATACTCAACCTAGCAGTCTAACCTAAAAAATACATGCTTTATATGAGCCTAGAAAAAATTGCATCTTAAGATTCAATAGAGACCATACAATTTTGACTTGGTGGGCCTCGAAGGCCTAGTCCGTCAAGGGGCAGATCTATGCCTCTTAATAGTGCCTGGCCGGGCCTACATTCAAGGCCTTTTAACTGGTTGGGCACGGGTTTGCAAGACCCGGGCCTGGCCCGCTTGCCCCCTTAATCACTACATTTGGTAAAGCCACACCTGGTAATCCCACACAAAAAAAGATAGTTCTGATGTTGGAAATAAGTGTAGTGGCATGTAAATTTATTACAAAAATAAAAAAAGGAAAACGTTTATCGAAGCTAGTTATTTATTTGTAGTATTAATGTTGGAGTAATATGCCCTGTTTGTTCTTGTTAGATAGTGTAGATTTGTTAATATCTCAAAATGTGTCTTTTAAAAGACCTGAAAAATATACATCATTTGAATAAAGGGAAATGTTTATATAAGGTTGCAACCTTAAAATGTAGAATCACATATGCACCTCAAAAATCTATTGAAAATATTGTTTTAATGTTGAAAAAACCCTCTAATCGATCATCTGAACATTGAGATATATGAATATGAAAAAAAAGAAGTTTTTGGGTCCTACAAATAGTGCATCTTGCAACACATTATCTGGATCTCCAT